AATCGGTTCATAAAAATATTGTAATGTGTGTAATCTGATGATGATCGCACTCTTACATCACATTTTATAAAAGTTATAATCATTCACTGTACAAAATACTTTGTACATACTTTTGAGTGCGATTGAGGCGCTGGGAAAATGTAGCAATAAAAAATAAATGTTCTAAAATTAAATATTTCCCAGCCGCCATAAAACATCACATGTGAACAATTCGGTGATCTTGTGCGCTGACGCATACGATAATGTGTCAGATAATAAAGGTTATGACCCACACGCACAGATATCGATGCGTTCAGTAGATGCACAAGACCACTAGAATGAAATTACAAGCAGCCCTGCAATGTTCTCCATTCAATATTAGAATAGATAAGAACAATTGTGTGGCTGCGACTAGGTTAAGTTAGATTAGTTTCAGTAGTACGTAAGGAACATGAATTTAAAATAAAAACAGAATTGAATCTACAGCCAAACCGTTCGGTTGGTTTTCTTTTCTCATTCATTCACAGTAAAATCTGGGAGGAGGTACATGATGGAGTGAACCGATATTGTCCATTTTCGCACCTAACCTAGCACTGATGTAATTATTAGAATTTCCAAAGTCGGAGAAAAAACTGATTGTCCTTTCCCTTTCTGTGCAGTAAAATATTTATTTTTATTTTTAAATTTCGACATTTGTGTGGGGGAGATACCAGAAGGACTTAACCGATATTGCCCATCTTCGAACTCGATCTAAGTTTAATAATAATATTACGATGTACCAAGTTTGGACCAAATCGGATACTCCCTTCGAGAATTATCGTGTGCATCAACCAGACAGACAGAGGGGTGTAGATCGACTCCAAATATCCTGAAACGGATTTGGTCCAAAGAGACCTAGGGTCTAAAACCGTTATTTCGATGAGGCACTTTTTGCCGTATCAAATTGTATATACCCTCTGTAGCCATATGGCCGAAGGTATTAAACAATTCTTTTTTGTTTTTTGGGCCATATCGGTCCACGTTTTCCCATATAACTATATAACTATATTTCGCATTTTGATGATTTTAGCGACATTATTCGCCGGAATCGTTTCAATTCTCATATCAGCAAGTCCAGGTCTTCGTCTAGCCCCCATATAACGGTTTTATTTTGAGCGGTATTTTTCGTCATTTTTTTGAATGTTTTCAATATTTCCTAATATCTGGCATGAAGGTATGATTTAGCCTTAACCATTCCTTGTGGTATTCCTAATCTGGTACATAGTGCCCTATTTTCTTTAAATTTGGCATATCTATATTTCTGCTCATATTATATCCTGTTCGAAGATAGAGAACGGCGAACGCTAAAATAAATTTTGCAAAATTAATTTATATCGTAAATGGCGGATTTCAAGATTTATCCCAAAACTTTCCATTCGCTAATGGTCTATGTAAGACGAGAAATGTAACAGGTATCAGTCCAACAAATTTTGAATATTTTAGTCGAAAACATTAAACTTTATTTTACTTCACTGTAGTAAAATTCCTTACTTACTTGGCCTTAGCTCGCAGGTCTTTCAACGTTACTATTCGATATGTAAATTTGTAGGTTTTCAATGAATATTTCTATATCGAGAATGCATCCGAAATGTGTGCCTGTGAGTTTTTGTTTGCGTATAACGCTTTTAGTCTTCTTTGTTTGTTTACTGTTTGTGAAACGTGCGACGTAACAGAAATAGAAATTGGCAAAAGGACAAAATTAAAAAAAAAGAAAATGTAGAGAAACAAACGCACACTCGCCAACTGTACTGATCTGATAAAAATCTAACAACAATCAAATCGTACTTTTACAGCTGCGTTAAAACTGTAAGCGTGTTGTGTGTGTGAGTGTGCCATTCGTAAATCAAAGAAAGGAAGACATTTTTTATGTTTGCTAAAATTTTTTTACATTTACATTTTAGAAAACGCTAAAAAATAATGAAATTAATTACAAACAAAAAATTGAAATAAATTATAATTTGAAGTTAATTTTTTACCTTCAGTCTTATGACTAAAGAGTGAAAATCACATGAAGTAGGACAGCCTTACTCATGCAAAAAAATAAATAAATAAATCGAGTTTATTCAATGCAACTCGAAAGTAAAACCCAATCTAAATTGAGATAATACCCACAGCCTTGCGTTACGATGGTTCAAACTGTTGATCCTTTATGTGTGGGTCTTAAGGAGTGGGCCAATAGTATCCATTTCTTATGAGACCTTAGACTGATATAAATTTTACAACGTGTAAGATTTCGACTATTTCTACTGTTTTCTTCACACTTTATGGAATACTAGCAGAACCCGGTGCGCTTCGCTACCCCTTTTGATTTTATATGCATTCAAAATTTTATTTACGAATATATGTTGGATAAAAAAAAAAAAAAAACAAATTTAAAAATGAAAAAAAAAAGATATATATATATATATATTGCACTACTTTAATGCGTTAATAAACAAAACCATTAGAAAAGTGGTGCTTCAAATACATGAAATTGGTCGAAAATATATATGGGTGCTATATCCAAATCTGAACCGATTTCAATATAATTTGACAAATTCATTTTTGCTCCCAATTTCGTTACTTATTTTAAATTTCATTAAAATTGGACATACATATCGTGTTTGGTGCACTAAATACATGAAATCGGCCGAAAATGTATATGGGAGCTATATCCAAATCTGAACCGATTTCAATATAAATTGATAAATTTATTTTCGCATCAAATCCCGATAAACATTCAAAATTTCATTGGAATCGAACATTCATATCGTGTTTGAGGCATCAAATGAACGAAATCGGTCGAAAATATATATGGAAGCTATATCCAAATCTGAACCGATTTCAATATAATTTGGCAAATTTATTTTTGTTCCAAATTCCGTTACGCATTCCAAATTTGGAGACTGTATCTGTAATCGATCAATATATATGTGCCTACAAAATCTAAATTTTTGGGAGGTACCTCCGATTCTGATGCTATATCTCCAGTTCCAAGTGTAATTTCAAAAATGTATATAGCCTATGTTACTTTCAGGCGATGTTGCAGTATACATGCAAATTTTCAGGAAGATCTGTTCAGCGGTTTTCGAGTCCATAAATTACAAACAAACAAACAAACATACAAACATTTTCCTCTTTTATAGATATAGAAGAAGAAGATGTGATATTTTTTCAAATCCTCAAATATTCGTGAGGTACAAACTTTTGCTAATAAAATATTTGGATGTATGAAATTTGAAGGGAATCGGGTGTTTACTTTCCATTTTGTGAGGAATATATTTATTCGAAATATTGACCTTTTGCGGGAGATAGTACCAGAAGCAGTGGACCGATCTATGCCATCTTCACACCAGATCTTGGGTTAGTAAAAATATTGTGATGTGTGAAATTTGAAGACAATCGGACCCTAATGTCACATTTAATTCGAGTTATAATTATTGAAAATTTTGACCCGTTGTGGGGGAGGTACCAGAGCGAGAGGACCGATATATACCATCTTCACACTAGATATTTTTCGAATAAAAACATTGGGTTGAATGAAATTTTAAGACAATCGGTCCCATATTTCGAATTTTGTAAGAGTTATAATTATACAAAATTTCGACCGCTTATATGGGAGGTACATGATGGAGTGGGCCCATATGGTCCATTTTCACACCTGACATAGCACAAACACAATTATTGGGATTTGCAATATCTGCACAAAGTTTGATGCTCCCTTCGTGTTTTATAAGAAAAATTATTTTTGCGAAAATTTTGACTTCTTTGGTAGAGGTACCTGAAAGAATTTACCGATATTGCTCACGTTGAATAGGGGTAACAGCCTCTCTACTTAGATTGCTTAAGGCCTTATTGTAGAAGACCATTGGATCTTCTTTGTAAAGACCATTAGGGGTTTTCATAAAAGTCTTCTCATAGAAAGGCCAGTTAGTCTAGTCTTTAAATATGTGCTCATTAGCTCTTAACATAGAGGTTCGTCCTTGGACCAAATTAATTAACTTTGTTAAATTTTGTCTCAATCGAATAAGAATCTTAAAGAGGTGTTTGATATATTGGAGAAGTTTCTGAGGTTCACCTTAAATAAAATTCCTTTAAGCGTTCTTCGTTAGAAAGTGATTCTTTGCGAGATCTTCTATAGGTCATTTAAGACTTCTTTAAATATAAAGTATCTAAGATTTTTTATACAAATAGAAGACATTTTAGGGTTTCGAGAGATCTTCAATCTATTGAAGACCGCCGATATTCCTTATACAGATAGAAGTCCTTTTTTAGGCCTCCTATAGATATAATACCTTTGAAGCGTTTTCTGTAAATAGAAGTCCTCTATGAAATATTCAAAAATTAAAGAGACTTGAACGTTGTCTACTTATAAGTGATCCTGGAGAAGTCCTTGGATATATGGCGTTTCTGGACATTTTCTACACACAGAAACATAAACTCTTAGGAGGACTTCTATAGATAGAAGGTCCTTCATAAAAATAAGTCCTTCGTGAGGTCTTTCAAAAATAGAAAATCTTCGCAAGACCTTTTACAAAAAGGACTCCATCAGTGATCTTCAATCGATAGGAAAATGTATCTATAGATGAGGACATGTCGAAGTTCTGCTGTAGAATAATTTTCTTAAAACTTTTCTATGCATTGAAGTCTTTCTGTAAATAAAGAAGCTTAAAAATATATTCTGCTAATGGGAGACTTTAAAAAATTACTCTAAAGATAGACACCCCTTAATAGGTTTTCAAGAGATAAATGGCACTTAAGACATCTTTCGCAAATGCAGGACTTTTATGCGATTTTTTCGTAGAATATTCTTTTAATACATTCTCATATAAGTATTATTTACAAAATTTTATATATATATTTTTTTTTATAAAAAACGAAAATTCCGGTTTTTTAACCTTTGTTTACCTTTGTAATATATCTATCGGGACCTACTGCTTATTCAAGACAAATCTTTGTAATTTTCAATTTCATACTGATATTTTTCTTTCTTTCTTTCACAGAGTCTACGCACGGCGTGGACGGGCCTGCATCGTGGCGTTTAACGCTCGATCAGGATCTTATTGACACGCTCAAGGGCAGTTTCCCCAGTTGGTTTCAGCAGACGTCGACAGGTGCCATTGGCACAACAACGGTTGTCGGTAACAGCAGCGGTAGCTGCAGTAGTGCCGCCACCAAACTTTTGACCACCACAGCCAATCACATAAATCGCACGAAGACATATAACTACAACAACAATACCATTACCATCAACAGCAATTATCGCCGTAACCATCACAGCTATCACTATCCGAGTATCCTCAACAATACCAATAAGAATAGCACCAGCAACAACCACGTGAATAAAATTCTCAACGGCAATAACATCAACGGTCTTACCATTACCACGACCACCGCTACATCGAACGCCAACCGCAACAACATCACACCCAACGGCAGCATAAATCTGCTGAATAATACAATTTGTGTGACCCCCATCACGATTGATACGAGCGGCGGTTATTTGCATACCTCGTCGTCATCCACGGGTCATCATAATTTTCTTAGCAACCAAAATACACTCCATTTGCATCAGTTGAACGGGACCAGTCTGCTAGCCAACGCCTGTTCTTCCCTGTCATCTTCGTCAGCATCGCCAGCATCAAGTGTGACCTCTAACTGTTCGGGTAATTCACATTCAACGATCTCATCGAAAAATTCCCAAAGCTCCACAAGCCACCAACGCCAACAACAGCAGCAGCATCAGCAACAAGTAGTAGTGGTGGGAGGAAATAGCGCAGGAGTAGTAGTAGCAGCAACAAACAACGTTAGTGGTTGTGTTAGTCAAACTATTTCCAACTCTAAGCCACCAATTTTGATAAACAAATCCAACCATTCATCATCATCTTCCAGTTCATCGTCGTCTTCGTCGTCGTCCTCATCGTCATCCTCTTCGTCCTGCTCGTCGTCATCCTCCACGTCCCGCTCATCTTTGTCTTCGTCAGCAGCCAGCAAATCGAAGGCATCTGTCTCTACCGCAGTCTCAACGAAAAAATCCTCAAATCCTCCAATAAAGACACCGAAAATCTCCAACAACACCTCCACACTTGCCAAATCGTTGCCAAGCACCAGCATAACCGTGACAACAACAACAGCAGCAGGTGCAACCGTCAATAGTGTCACTCTGAAACCCATAACCACAGTATCGACACCGACACCAACTCCTGTGGCACCACCCCTACCCGCCCACATACCCAGCGCTGTGGGAGCGACAACAATTACCCGTGTAATTCCAAAATCACCATCATTGCATAGCCTCAGTGGTGGTTCGTTACTTGCAACATTCTCATCACCCGGTTCGGCAACAACGTTCGAACTTATATCGGATTCTTCGTGCAACGGCCTATTGAACGCCACCCATCTCAGTGGCAAGGCAGCCTTTGAGCAGACATTTCAAGACGTCATATTATTACAGGAAGCCTACGACGATATGTCAGAGGGTAAGTTGGCGAACACACTTAGAGGTGTAGTGGAATTCTATTAATTTAAGCACTTGTGTGTGTGTGTGTGTGTGGTTTTTGTCTTTGCAGGCGAACAACGTTTAAATGCATCATTTCTGGGAGGAGGCATCAGCAGCAGTGATGACGCCACAAATTCCGATTTTTATGATCCACGGCAATCGCCGCCCAAGGCAATTGTCGATTCCAGTCCCCTGCAGCCACAAATGGATAAAAACAAAGAATGTAAGTTTTCACATGAATTCCCAAGCTAAGGTGAAGTAGAGGTCGAGGGTAATTTTGAAGCGTATAAAGGACACCAGGACATAAAAAAGCAATTGGTGTTCTCATAGGTCCTCTCACAAAATAACATAGATATTTTAACAGAAAACTAGAAGGCCTTTCGCATAAAAGACCAGTAGGTCATCTTCCCTTAAAAGACAAGACGGAGACTAGTTGGTTTTCTCTTCGAGGCCAATATGTCTTTTCATAGAAGACAAGTAGGTATTCTCATAGAAAAGAGATGTGTCTTCTCATAGAAGATAAGTTCTCGCAATAGAAGACAACTATGTCTTCTCATCGAAGACCTGTCTTCTTGTCATAGAAGACCAGAAGGTCTTCTTTTTCTCTTAGAAGATCGGGCCATTTGTCGTAGAAGACCAAAAGGTATTCTAGAAAAGATCTGTAGGTCTTCTCATAGGGGACAAGAAGGGCCACAAAACCTTTTTCTTATAATTTTTTTCCAAAGAAGACCACATTGTTTTCTGCCAAAGAAGACCCTCAGATCTTCTTCCCATTGAAGTCTCGAAGGCCTTCTCCCAATAGAAGATGAGATCTTCTTCTGATAGACCAGATGGCTTTTATCATGGAAAACCAGGTGTTTTCAAAGAAGATTAAAAGGTCTTCCTCTTGTTGAAGACCACAAGGGTTTCTTCACATAAAAGACCGGAAGGTCTTATTCCCCTAGAAGACCAGAAGGTCATTTTCTCATAAACGACGAGAAGGTCTTTTCATAATTGACGAGAAAGTATCCTCATAGAAGGCGATAGAAGACTAGAAGGCCTTCTCATAGAAAACGAGAATATGTTTTCATAGAAGACGAAAGGAGAAGAACCAGAAGGTCTTCTCATGGAAGACCAGAAAATCAATAGCCGACCAGAATATTAATTCTAAAATTCGCGCCTTGAACCCGAAGATCCTTAAAAAATCCACATCTAAAAACTCAAAAGATCCATTAAGAATGTATGTTAAGAACTACGCCTAAGACTCCAGAATTCATTTAAAAATTCATTTGAAAATCCACTTCTAAAGACTTCAAAAGATCCTTTAAAATCCTTCATGCCAAAAGATCTCAGAAGATTCTTTAAAAATCCACGCCTAAAGACCTTAGAAGATTCTATGAGAACTAATTTAAAAATCCATGCCAAAAGACCACAGAATATCATTTAAAAATACATTTGAAAATCCACTTCCAAAGACCTCAAAGTATCCTTTAAGAACCCTTGTAAAAACAAATGTCAAAAAATCTCAGAAGATCCTTTAAAAATTAGCTTAGAAATCCACGCCTAAAGACCTCAGAAGATCCTTTAAAAATTAGCTTAGAAATCCACGCCTAAAGACCTCAGAAGATCCTTTAAAAATTAGCTTAGAAATCCACGCCTAAAGACCTCAGAAGATCCTTTAAAAATTAGCTTAGAAATCCACGCCTAAAGACCTCAGAAGATCCTTTAAAAATTAGCTTAGAAATCCACGCCTAAAGACCTCAGAAGATCCTTTAAAAATTAGCTTAGAAATCCACGCCTAAAGACCTCAGAAGATCCTTTAAAAATTAGCTTAGAAATCCACGCCTAAAGACCTCAGAAGATCCTTTAAAAATTAGCTTAGAAATCCACGCCTAAAGACCTCAGAAGATCCTTTAAAAATTAGCTTAGAAATCCACGCCTAAAGACCTCAGAAGATCCTTTAAAAATTAGCTTAGAAATCCACGCCTAAAGACCTCAGAAGATCCTTTAAAAATTAGCTTAGAAATCCACGCCTAAAGACCTCAGAAGATCCTTTAAAAATTAGCTTAGAAATCCACGCCTAAAGACCTCAGAAGATCCTTTAAAAATTAGCTTAGAAATCCACGCCTAAACCCCTGAGAAAATTCTTTGAAAATTCATTTAAAAATCCACGACTAAAGGCCTCAGAAGATGTTTTGAAAAGTCATTTAAAAATCCACGCCTAAAGGCCTCAGAAGATCCTTTGAAAATTCATTTAAAAATCCACACTCAAAGACCTCAGAAAATTCTTTGAAAATTCATTTAAAATCCACGACTAAAGGCCTCAGAAGATGTTTTGGAAAGTCATTTAAAAATCCACGACTAAATACCTCAGGAAATCCTTTGAAAATTCATTTAAAAATCCACGACTAAATACCTCAGGAAATCCTTTGAAAATTTATTTAAAAATCTACGCCTAAAGACATCAGAAGATCCCTTAAAGTTTTATTTAAAAATCTACGCCTAAAGACCTCAGCAGATCCTTTGAAAATTGTTTTAAAAATCCACGCCTAAAGACCTCAGAAGATCCTTTGAAAATTCATTTAAAAATCCACGTCTAAACACCTCAGAAGATCTTTTGAAAATTTATTTAAAAATCCACGCCTAAAGACCTCAGAAGATCCTTTGAAAATTCATTTAAAATCCACGCCTAAAGACCTCAGAAGATCCTTTGAAAATTCATTTAAAAATTCACGTCTAAAGACCTCAGAAGATCCTTAAAAAATTCGCTTAAAAACCCACGCCAAAAGACCTCAGAAGATCCTTTAAAAATTAGCTTAGAAATCCACGCCTAAAGGCCTCAGAAGATCCTTTAAAAATTAGCTTAGAAATCCACGCCTAAAGGCCTCAGAAGATCTTTTGAAAATTCATATAAAAATCCACGCCTAAAGCCTCAGAAGATCTTTTGAAAATTCATTTAAAAATCCAGGCCTAAAGGCCTCAGAAGATCTTTTGAAAATTCATATAAAAATCCACGCCTAAAGGCCTTAGAAGATCTTTTGAAAATTCATTTAAAAATCCAGGCCTAAAGGTCTCAGAAGATCTTTTGAAAATTCATATAAAAATCCGCGTCTAAATACCTCAGGAAATCCTTTGAAAATTCATTTAAAAATCCGCGTCTAAATACTTAAGGAAATCCTTTGAAAATTCAATTAATCCACGCCTAAATACCTCAGGAAATCCTTTGAAAATTCATTTAAAATCCACGCCTAAATACCTCAGGAAATCCTTTGAAACTCATTTAAAAATCCACGCCTAAAGACCTCAGAAGATCCTTTGAAAATTAATTTAAAAATCCACGCCTAAAGACCTCAGAAGATCCTTTGAAAATTAATTTAAAAATCCACGACTAAATACCTCAGGAAATCCTTTGAAAATTCATTTAAAAATCCACGCCTAAAGACCTCAGAAGATCCTTTAAAAATTAGCTTAGAAATCCACGCCTAAAGACCTCAGAAGATCCTTTAAAAATTAGCTTAGAAATCCACGCCTAAAGACCTCAGAAGATCCTTTAAAAATTAGCTTAGAAATCCACGCCTAAAGACCTCAGAAGATCCTTTAAAAATTAGCTTAGAAATCCACGGTGTTAAAGGCCTCAGGAGATCCTTTGAAAATTCATTTAAAAATCTACGCCTAAAGGCCTCAGGAGATCCTTTAAAAATTTATTTAAAAATCCACGTCTAAAGGCCTCAGGAAATCCTTTGAAAATTCATTAAAAATCCGCGCCTAAATACCAAAGGAAATCTTTTGAAAATTCATTTAAAATCCACGCCTAAAGACTAGAAGATCCCTTGAAAATTAATGTAAAAATCCACGCCTAAAGGCCTCAGAAGATCTTTTGGAAATTCATTTAAAATTCCACGCCTAAAGGCCTCAGAAGATCCTTTAAAACTCCAAGGAATGCATATCTTCTACGTCGGTGCTAGTGCCCCTTTTAAGTTTTATCATTTTTGTAGCCTTTTAGAGATCCTCTTAAAATTCATTTCCTCAAATATCTTTCCTCAAATGATACGACAAAACTAAATTTTCATAGAATTCCTAATTTCAATTTTGAGTTATTGGGAAACTTTCTTTTTTCCATCATCATCTTCATCATTATCTTCTGCTTAGAGTTTCGTTTTTACTAGCGTAGAGAAGAAACATGCCTTTGGTGTCTGAGTTCTTCCGGTATATCGATGCTATTCGAACTTCTTCATCTGTATCCGTTCCCTTGTTGATTTCCTTCCTTGTATCACTATGCTTTATGTCCCTTGCCATTTTGGGTCTAATTGAATATGATATGGGAGTGTGTGTGTTCACTGAAGTATTTGGGGGACATTTAGGTTGTTAGTTTTGTTGCTCTCCATTACCAATTGTAATTAGTAACAAATATAAGCTATATAAGTTATACAAAATCAAATGTTCGGAAATGTCCGGTTTGACATTCGACTGAAGACTTCGAAGAAGAAAAAAAACAAGCAAACAAATCAGACTTGGCATGTTTTGAAGGGTCATTTTTGTGAATAAATCGGATGATGGTATCTAATATTTTTTTCATAGAAAATAGTTGACTTCAATACTGAGTTCTCTCTCTCTCTCTCCGCCGCACAACATTTTGATTACAGGAAACTTGAGAACATATTTCGCAACAATGGCTAGGAAAAACTACATCAGACTTACACTAAAATATATTGTACATGGCTTCGTTTCGTTTTGTTTTTCTTTTTGCTGCTACTCTGTTTGCTTTATGGTTGGCTAAAACTAAGAGCATTGTTTGCTCGAGTCCTTCAAGTTCCTTATCATGATCCTTGATATAGACATTTAACAAAATGCTGAACATGGTCTTACGACTTTCAGCTACAAGACTTTCGTTTCCGTTCAATTTTGTTTATCTACTCTTGTTTATCATTGTTTCGGATATTTCCTTTTGTGTGTGTATGTGTATGTGTGTGGTGTTCACTCATCTGTGTGTGTGTGTGTGTTTGTATTAGTTCTTATCAAGTTGATACATTCTTAAACAAGTACAAAAGCAACCAAATCCTTAGCAGTTTTTTGTGAGCTGTTCCTTATGGTTTAGTAAAGTTTATTATAAGTCAACATACACAGACACACACATACACATCCTGGCACACTATGAAATCCGAAATATCGTCGAAAGCAAGAATGGGGAATGTGAAAATACAAGGTCAACAATTAAATCATTTCGTTTGTTTAATTCTGAAATAA